CGTATTTTGGTTCCGGCGCCCGGTACAGGTCTTATATATGATTTGTGACGACCCGACCCGTCGTATCATGTATTACTGCCCCGTTTTCCTCATTTATTACTTCTTCATGTTTCATTACCGGTATGTGGTGAGTTAGAGTTGATTCGGATTGGTTTTGATAAGAAATGAGACACTTAGTCTCTTTTAAGAAGGCTTAAGTTGGAAAAGTCAACCGGACGTTGACTTATGAGTTAGAGGGCTCGGATGTGATTTCCGGTGATTCGGTTAGCTTCGGAAGATGATTTGTGACTTGGGAGCGTGATCGGAATTTATTTTGGAGGTCCGGTGTAGAATTAGGCTTGAATTGGCGAAGTTAGTATTTTGGCGAATTCCGATTGATAGGCGAGATTTTGATATAGGGGTCGGAATGGAATTCCGACAATTGCAGTAGCTCCGTTATGTCATTTGGGATGTGTGTGCAAAGTTTCAGATCATTCGGACGAGGTTTGGTAGACTTTTTGATCGAAAGTGCATTTCGGAAGTTTTTGAAGAACTTAGACTTGAATCCGATGTGATTTGATGGTTTTAGCGTTGTTTGATGTGTTTTGATGATTGGAACAAGTTTGAATGATGTTATGGGATATGTCCGTGCTTTTGGTTTAGGTCCTGGGGGCCTCGGGTGAGTTTCGGGGTGGTTTCGGACCATTTCTAGGCCATTTTTAACTGCTGGTTTTTGGCTACAACAGTGTTCTATGCGATCGCGGGGAACCGGTCGCGATCGCGGTGAGTAAAATGTGAGAAACGTGCCAATGAATCGCGATCGCGTGAAGCCTTTCGCAATCGCGGAGAAGAAATATTCTGTTGCGTTGATCCCACTTCGGAAGCTTATATCTCACAATCTATAAGGAATTTGGAGATGATCCAAAAATGAAAATTGTATCCCTTTGTGTCTAGTTTTCAGAAATGTAAATTAATTGGAATTTAAATTGTGTACGAAAAGTTATGGTGGTTACACTATAGGCTGCCCGGGAAGGTCTCTAATACACAGGGATGACTTTGGAAGCTTATGTCTCGCAATGTATAAGGAGTCAGGAAATGAGCAACATCTGAAATTATAGCCCTATGTGTCTAGTTTTCAGAACATCAAACCATTCGTAATTTGGAGTTGTGTGCGAAAAGTTATGACCACTATATTGGAGGCTGTCCGGAAGAGCTGGGAACTGTTCATCGCGATCGCGAAGCATTGTCCGCGATCGCAAAGAGTAAATTTTGGGCTGGAAAAATTGTTCTCCGCGATCGCGAAGCATTTTCCGCGATCGCGAAGAGTAAATACCTGGGCAGAATGTTTTAAAACACGTCAGTCGCGATTTTGGGGTCATTTTACACCTATAATTGCTCGTTTTTGGAGATTCTTGAAGGAGATTAACGAGGGATTCAAGGGGGAACATTTGGAGGTAAGTTTCTTGGACTCAAAACTCGTTTTTATTGTGAAATCCATCTAGGAAATCATTGAATTTTTGCTAAAATGGAGGAATAGGGCTTGGAATTTTCAAATTTTAAATTGGGATTTGAAGGGTCAATTGTTGATGGATTTTGATGTTCTTAGTGTGTATGAACTCGTGAGGAGATAAGGAATCCGGTGATGTGAATTTTGTAATTTTTCGAGAAGTGGGCCCGGGGCTCCGGTTTTGTCAACTTCGTAATTTTCGATGTTTTTTCGAGTCTTTTTGATTGGGTTATGTTTCCTTAGCATATTGTGATGTATTCGCTCTGATTTTGGTTAGATTCGGCGCGCGTGGAGGCCGATTTGAGGGGCAAAGGCGTCGCGGGTTTGAGATTTCACCGGTTCGAGGTGAGTAATGATTGTAAATGATATCCTGAGGGTTTGAAACCCCGGATTTGCACCCATAGTGCTATATTGAGGTGACTTGCACGCCAGATAGAGAGCGTGGGGTAGAGCACCGTTGGGGATTGCGACTTGGTCCGTCCCGATTGTTGATTTTACCACGTATTTCGCTATGACTTGTTGTTTTTCACTAGGACTTGGGCTTATTGCCATATTTGGGGCTTATTGCCGTCTGTTTGAACTCCCTATGAGCTATCATCACTGTTTTCCTCACTATTTGAAATATTATTTGAACTCAGTCCATTGTCATTACACTATTTCATGAACTCAGCTATATTTTTACTCAACCTCGAGTTTTAACTGATATTTGAACTACTGTTTGAGCTGAGCATTATTGTTTCTTTACTGATGCCCGAGGGGCTTATGATTATTTTTGGACTGATTGAGGCCGAGGGCCATATGTGAGGATATGCTGAGTGATGTGAGGAGGCTTTCAGGCCTCGAGTGTATTGTAAGGAGGCTTTCAGGCCTCGATTGTGCTGTGAGAAGGCTTTGATGCCTCATGTTGATATGTACAGGCTTTCAGGCCTTATGATGATATAGCGCTTGGGCTGTAGGAGCCCCTCCGGAGTCTGCACACCCACAGTGAGCGCGGGTACCCATCTAGAGCGGTTAAATTTTAGACAGTGGTAACAATGACACTATCATACGCATTTTGGTCAGGTAACAATGACTGACCAGTCAGGTAACAATGACTGACCAGTGGTAATAATGGCACTGTAATACGCGTTTTGGTCAGGTAACAATGGCTGACCGGTCAGGTAACAATGACTGACTAGTAACGAAAATCATGCCCGTGGGGCGAACTTTTATGTGCTCATCTTGCATACTTATTTGCATTTTTACCTGATATGCTGTGGTATTTGTGCCCGAGGGGCGGATTTTCTGTGTTAATCAGCACTAACTATTTTGAACAACTTTTGTAATTATTGAAAGGACCATTTTCAAAAGAGATTTGAACTGAGCCGAAACATTATTAAAGAGTTTCTCTGATTTCACTGTTTTCTCGAAAATTGTACCCGGCTTCTGTACAGCCCGTTTGTTGCTTTACGTGATTTCTTGCTGCTCAGTTATTATTTACTTCTATTACTCACTGAGTTGGAAGTACTCACTTTACTCCCTGCACCTCGCGTGCAGTTGCAGGTATCGTTCACCCGGTAGCGGGTTATTAGCGGATTGAAAGTATTATTATTGTAGCTGAGCAAGGTGACCACCAGCGTTCGCGGAACCGGATGTTGTCTTTTGTTTTCCAGAAATTTTACTTGTATATATTTATTGGCCTGTAGTTGTGTTAAGGTTTCTTTAGATGCTCGTGACTTGTGACACCCCGGCCGGGTTGTGTTGGGTTGTACATACTGGTTATTATTGTCGTTAAGCTATATTCACCTATTCGTTTATGTTTAATAAATATTAAAGAGACGATTTGGGTTAGTTGGCTGGCCTTGTCTTCACGAGAGGCGCCATCACGACCGGGTTTGGAAATTGGGTTGTGACATAATGAGATGAGGTTCTAACTAGAAAAAGCAAGAATGTGCCTATTGATAATGATGGTATTCTTTGGCTAAGTAGTGGGTTATGTATACCTGATATAGATGGGTTAAGATAAATTATCCTTCAAGAGCTCACAACTCTAGCTACGATGTATATTCGAGGACTAATAAGATGTACCATAACTAGAAGAAAATTGTATTTGTTAAACAAGAAAGAACAAAGATCTTTTTACTTGTTTCTGACTACTTGACTTGTTAGCATGTTAAGGTAAGAAATTGCGACTTGCAGGACCACTACAATAACTCGAGTTCCAAAGTGAAAATGAAATAGAATTACAGTAAATTTTATGATAAAACTATTTCAAACAATTAGAGGTTATAATTATGTGTGAAAAATTGTAAATTAGCTTACATAGTAGGCGCATTTTTTTCTAGTTAAAACTTCTCATATCGAGGATAAATATGCACAAATATACATGAATGGAAATTTGTCAAACTCTTTGGGGTCTATTATCCACCATTTTTGATAGAAGATCACAATTTACTGCACGATTTTGAAAATCTATCCAAAAAGATATTGGGCACACTAGAAGATCTTAGTAACGCATTTCATTAACAGACAGATGGCCAATCTGAATGTACTATAGAAATCTTGAAAGATATGTTGAAAGCTTGCACTTTGAGTTTGGAGGTAGCTTGTACGCTTATATGTATATTTAGCTGAATTTGCCTATAACGATAGCTTCAGTCCAGGATTGAGGTGGCACCTTATGGAGCCTCGTATAGTATAAGATGGCGTTCTCCTAACGGATAGTTTGAAGCCGATAAGGCTAACTTTTTAGGACTCGATTTGGTACAAAAAAAAAATTATTGACAAAGTCCAGTAATTAGATTGCATACAGTACAAAATAGACAAATAAAAATTATGCGAATAAGACGAGACGGATTTGGTTTGTTTTCAATTGGAGACAAAGTGTCCTTACAAGTCTTCCCTATGAAAGACATAATGTAATTCAAAAAAAAAAAAAAGAGGCAGGTTGAGACCTAGGTTTATAGGACCGTATGAGATACTAGACCGAGTGAGAGTTATGACTTATCATTTGGCACTTCCTTTTGAGATGTCTTTTGTTCATCCAATATTTCGTGTCTCTATGCCTTAATATTAGACTCCTCTCAAGTTCTTGAAGCACCGACTATACTGCTTGATGAGAAGTTGTATTACGAGGAGGAGCCGATGACTATTTTTGATAGACAAGTAAGAAAGCTAGGTCAAATTAAATTGTGTTCGTTATAGTCGTATGTAGAAATCATACCGTTGAAGAAGCTACTTGGGAAGTAGAAAAAAAAGGGATATGCAAGTAAAGTATCCCCACTTATTTCAGTCTACAGATATGCACTTAATTTAAATTCGGGGACGAATTTCATAAGGTGGGGAGAATGTAATATCTGCTATTAAATAATGGATAGTTAAATAATCTTCAAAAAAAATATACAAAAAAATAACACAAAACAAACAAACAAAAAAAAGAAAAAGAAAACAACAATAAAATAAAGAAGGAAGACAATTTAAGTGGGCCTTAGCCCATCTGCTTCAAATTGACGAAGCTAGAAAAGGGTTTGAAAACAAAAAATCCCTTTAGCCAACCACATCAAACGAGAAAAGAAAGAAAACGTTTCTAGTGTTTCTTAGCGCCGATACCGTGTTTCACTTCGTCATCGGCACAAATTTTTGAGCTTCCACAATAAACTCCAGGTAATTTCATGTAATTCTTTTTTCTTTTGATACAATATTATTTTTTTTCATGATTCCTTGCGGGATTGAGTAGAGAAAATGCTAGGATAAAGTTAAGGGAATTGAAAAAGGGAGAAGCGCCACATTTAAACTTCTGTAGAATTAGAAGATGACTAACATCCCTAAAGAAAGAAAAGGTTGGATTGGAGAAACAAAAGAAGCCTAAAGCTTCACCAACGTGAAAGAAAAATTTGAGAAAATAAAAAGCTTTGATCACTAAAGCTTTGGGCACCAGGTCCGGTGAAGTTTGTAGTTGCTCTTAGTGAAATTACTCGACGACTTAGAACAAAATAATCAATTTCTCCTTTTTTCTTTTTTTGGGAATTTGCTTGAGATATTTTCCATAGTGTATGCTTTCATTGAGTACAAAAAAAAGGATTTAAATATCAATTAAGAAGGAAGATCATGGACAATAATATTATCCGATGTTTGTAGTATTCATATGATTTAAGGAGACCAAATAGTACAATAAATAGACTATATGAATGACCTTTTTTTAGAAGATTATGGACTCACTTAAGTTAACTGTAGTACAGGCAGACAAATTTGACGAATTGAGAACTAAACGTGTGATCCCGAGGGGTGGATATTCAAATTTAGTTATGAATTAGCCCGAACAAGGAAACTAACACGACATTAATATGATGTGATCATAGATTGATTGAAGGAACCCATACGGATTGCTCGAGGTGACGAGTTTGGTATTTTGCACGAGTACTGTGAGTAGTAATCTTACCGCAATTTGTGTTTTCATAACCTGCATGGTTTATACATTATTTTGAAAATAAAATATGTTACCGAATATTTGAAATTGCATGTGGGACAAGTCTTTTACTTGATATGGTACTAAATAATTTACTTGAGACGTTTACAGTTATTTAAAATGTTCTCACTGTTACTAGACATGTTTTACTATTACTAAAGATATGATTACCATACCGAAATTGGATTATATGATTTGATAATTGAAATGCCCTGTACTGTTTTGAAAATGCTTCCATGTGAAGATTTACTGTTTACAAAGAAAAGTATGAACGGGAGGAGACTTTGAAGGATCCCGTAGCTAACGGCGGGTTCGTTAGACCTGGTGCACCTTGTATTTACCGATTACCGAATACAGTTATAGCCCTCGCTAGTGGGAAGGTAGAACTAGCATACAGTTACAGTTTTCCCTCGAGTAGGGACCTACAGTTATATTTGACTCCTTTTACGAAGGGGTCCAGACAGTGATACAGATTACATGATCCTTTCTTGGAACCCTCCCAAACATATTGATATGACAATGTTTACAGAGTTTATTACTGAATTGTTAATTGATTCCTGCTTACATGAAAACAGACAAGATTGATTGTTGTTACCGATTCTGAAAAAGGGCATTTATTTCATGATATTTTTTAATTATTGTACGAGCATGTTTTCTGACTTGTCCCTATGAAAAAAAAGGTTGTGGTTAAGTGTTATTACTCACTAAACTAGCGACTCATTCCCCGCTATTTTTTTACAGAGACAGCAGTTGACGTGAGTGAGGATTTCGTTAATTGGAGTATACGAGTTAATAGTTCCTGGTGAGCCCCGCACTTGTTCGCGTGGGCGAAGAGTCTATTTATTTGTCATCGTCTTTGCTTTTGAACTCTTAGAGTCGCTCCATAGTCATTTTTATTAGTGTTATGGTTATTCATTCATTATATTGGATTAGTTCCTAATATTGCATTTGTTTTCATATTTCTGAGATGGGATTAGTATTATTATGTTGATAAGTTTTGTAATCTTAGTGAAAACTCATTTTTGGTTAGTTGATGAGGATTATGACTGATTTAGCTGAATATTGGTTGGTTGTTATTTGTTTAGGAGACAGAAAAACTTTTGGATAGTCCTAAAATAGGGGAAACTCTGTCCGATTTTCTGTAAAATACCAATGAGGCTTACTTGGGGGCACTTGCTCCTAAGCGCTAGTCATGATCCTAAATTGGGTCGTGACACTGCCTCAAATCTAAAGCACTCCTCCCAATTTCACTTCGGTCAAACAAAGCAATATTTTATTTTTTATTTTTTATTTTTTAGAGAAGGACCAAGGAATCAGTTTTATCCAGAAGATGAGTTACGATTTTACTTATTTATTTCTTTAATTATTATACCAAGCAGAAATTGGTTTTTTCGTACTTGCATATTCATCACTAAGAACTAGATTGTTATTTAAAGTTACAAATAAAGTATTTAAAGAAAAGCAAATTACATAAGCAGGCACCTAAACTTGGCACTGTTTTTAACTTAGGCACTTAAAGTTAGGCCTATTCCTATTAGACACTTAAAGTATATCCAATATGTGTCTATTGAACACCTCATTGACCATCACTAGGAAAAACAAAGTGAGTGTAATCCACCCGCGAATGACATGGCAAATAGTTGTTTCTCAATAATTATTAAATAGTTGTTTTGAGAAACTGAAATTTCCTTCGATCTTGGCTGGAAATTTATTCTCCGACGATCCTGTAATGCCACCTCCAACAATCTCTCTCCTTTTCTTCCTTATTTCCTCATTTCGGAAACACCTTAAAAATTACACGCTTCTTCAAAATTCAAATCAGATAACCATCGAGTTTGATGGAAAATTTCGCCGGTGATTTCAGTTGATAATGAAAGCTTTGGCAGCACCACGACCAAGAAAACTTGAGAGTAAGCTGAAGGAAATTCTTAAAGAGTGATTCTTTGCACTTCTTCCCCTAGATATTCTGTAAAAAATGGAATTGGAGATTTTAAGGATTGGCCGTGATGGATTTTTTTATGAAGAATAGCCAAAAATTAAGATTTTATCTAAAATTTTCTTTAGCTCTTCACGCGCATTGTTCACACAATATGACATGTCAGCGATCTGTGTTAAATAGACACACTTGGAAGGTAGTTCGAGTACCTAATAAAAAAGCGCCAGCACTCTCCACAATAAATTTTCAGTTTTTTCACGCTATTCAAAGAACCCTAAGCCCCAAATTTCAAAATGAGGATGGCACAGACTCTTCGCCTTGCTGTCCTCCCTCCTTAATTGGTGCGCTCTCTCTCTCTTCCTCTTTCTCTCTGAGTGTGTAATATGCTTAATTGAAGTTCAATTTTACTTTGAATTATTCCTAAAAATTTTACTGTTATAAATTGGTATTTTGTTCAATCTAGGATTCGTGATAGAAGAAATATATATTTTAATTTAAGATAAGGAACCTCCAATTACATTTCCTTTCTTTTATAGCTTACCAGTCCGTCACTTTTCTACTTCGCTTTATCTCTGTAGGAAGGTAGAGAGGAAACCGGTGGCTATCATCTCCGCACATCCAATCTCCTTTCAATTTCAAGTAAACCAGGCTCTGCTCTCTCTCTGACAAAAGCAATTTCTTTCTTTAGATTTGTATGGCTCTCTGTTATTTGAAAATTTAAAGAAAGTTGTGAGGTGGTTTTGGGTTTTTGTTTTGTGATCTGTGGAAGGAGGTAAAAGATATTAAAATTCTTGATGGAAAATGGATATTTTTTTTTATTTCTTGGTTGTAGATAACTAGATGTAGAAAATCTTGGATTATTTGTTTTGAATTATATATGTTGATATCTTCTGTCACCATTCTCATCCCTCTCTCTCCTCCACCACTCCTCCCCTTCCTCCTCCACTGTCTTGAAGCAAAATAGGCCGAAAACCTTTCAAATTTTGTAGGAATCTTGCTGGCTTGATAATGACATAATCTATGTGTTGAAGCTTTTTACAAAATAAAATGCATAGAAAGAGAAGATTTTTGGCCCCTCCATTTATGTTGCTCTGTTCGATGATGAATTCGGGTAACATCAGTTTGAAATTCTTGTAACCTGGTTTTTCGAAAATTTGAAGCTTCAAGAAAAATTAGAAATTTCATATTATTGCTGATAATATCAATTAAAGATTAAAGCTGAAACTTAAAAGCTCTATGAACACCCACTCGAGTTCGAAGCTTTAAATTTCAAATTGAAGAATTTGGAGGTTATCTTATTCTGTTTTCATTACCACTTGATTTTGTTCTTGAATTTCATAGATGTGAAACAGGTGGGATCCAGGCTTCAATTGTAAATTGAAGTGTTTAAGGCTACAACTTCTATCTCACTCAAGAAGGACCATTATCTACTTGTAAAATATTTTGCTTGATGATCATATGGAGCCTGAGATCAAAAGGTAAGAATACTTTCATCTATTATATTTGGAAAGCTGTTCAATAAGAATTCTGTATATTATTTGCTTTATTCAGTTTAGCTTTCTGTTGCATCATTGAGTTTGTTTTGATTGACTTTTTGATAAGTAATCTTATTGACAGCACCTAGGGGGAATTGTATAGCCACGAAATTATCTAGATTTGATTTGCTCAATTATGTATGGGATAATTGCTGCTGCCCAGATACTCCTTGCGCGGGTTGTATTGCTTGTTGCTCTCCCAAAATTGTATTACAACCTGAAAATTGCATCAGTTGTGCATTCGACTTTGAACCAGCGGAATGTGCTACTTTTTGTGGTTTTGAACTGTCCAATGCATCCAAGAGTGCCCTATCATGGACTGAAATCATCGCCTTGCTTGAAGGCACAAAAACAGGTGCTATAGAACTCAATTTTGTCGTTGGAGACGTTCGAGTAGCTTTGTTACCTTGTGCCGTTGGTGAAGCAACTGAATGTGGGCTGCCACCTTCACTTTCCGTGTCATCACTATACTCAAAATCAACTCCATCCTCGTCTTCTTCACCCCCAACTTGATCAGCCCATAATTTTCCTTGTAACATCCCTCGATCAACAAGTTCTCTATGCTCTTGTGATTGTTTATGTTGGTTAGATTGCACATTGCTCTTCTCCTTCCCAAACTCCTTCACCACATCATAAACATTCCCTGTGGACAACAGAAGCTGCCAGGATTCACTGCCTATCTCCTTTTTCCCATCGCTGGTGTATTGCTGTGCCAGCTTAGCGTTATTTATAGGTGGTGAATTGATACCAACATCTCCTCCGCAGCTAAAATTTCAGAAACATTTGGACTGGTGACCTGCGCTGCAATTTGTCGAGGACCTGGAATACTTAAATGTTGCTGCTGTTCTTGTACGCCTAAAGAAGTGTTTTGCCTAGTAGGAGATCTTACTACAGTCCAGCCATCCCCTTTTGCATTTTTTCGTATTCCATCTTCATTAGAGGAAGTTAAGACAAATTTATGTCCCTCTACATTAACGCCCGTAGCTTTTTTTTTTTTGGTAGAAAATAAAATCTTTATTTAATCATCCTAAAAACACACATATACAATTTCACTTCTCCTATCCTTCTAATATTCCATACATTCACTATATTTCAATCTATCATTTCCCTATACAAAATGTTTCTGTTTCTATCTATATAACTTTTCAAACCAGCTCATATTTGCCTTGCTCTTCGTCTTCTGTATTATCTCCAAGCATCTGTATTTGCATGCATGTTGAATCTGTTCTAACACTACTTGTGGTCGAGGCACTCTTTTCCTCCATATAGCTTCATTCCTGGCTTTCCATATATGATATATGACTGCTGCCAGAACTGCCTTCGTAAATGATCTTCCAATTTTCCCTTTTGCAATTCTAGTCATCCTTCTCTATATCCCCGTCACTTCCATGTTCTGTATATTCATCCCAAGCCATTTTAACACTTCAGCTAAGCACAATCTTGAGTATGTGCATTCAAAGAACAAATGTTCAATGGATTCTGTGTTTCCTACGCATAGCATGCAGTCACTATCTTCAGTTATTTTCATTTTCAGTGTTCAATCTTTTGTCAGCAGTTTCTTCCTCATCACAAGCCAACTGATGAAGCTGTGTTTAGGGACATTCATTTTATTCCACACTCCTCTGCACCAAGGCCATTGATCTAGCCTTCCTCTTCTCCAATTATAGCCACTCTTGATTGTGTACTTCCCTGTCCTCGATTGCCAGCCATTTCCTATGTATCCAGTTACATATATGTCACGGATGTCACAAATTTTTCTCCAGTACCAACAGCTGTCTTTTGAGGGCCTATGCTGCCACCAATCTTCTCCCTTCAGATAGATGTGGTTGATCCATTTCACCCACAAGTTGTCTTCTTTGTTTTCTATATTTCATACATATTTTGCCACCGCAACTTCATTCCATTTTATACATTCCCTTATACCCAACCCTCCTTCATTTTTTGGCCTACACACAAGGTCCCAAGCCACAAGTGGTACCTTATTTGATATACTATTTCCACCCCACAAGTAGTTCCTGCAAATGGCTGTAATGTCTTTGAGGACCTTCTTGAGGAGTATGAGAATTGTTGCCCAATATGAATGAATATTGATCAATACAGAATTGATCAATTGCACTCTCCCTGCATACGACAGATTCTTTGAGCCCCATGAGTGTATTCTTGTACTTAGCTTCTCCACCAACATTTCACAATCACTTGCCTTCAGTTTCCTTGCAACTATAGGAACTCCTAGGTACCTGAATGGCATAGTCCCTTTATTGTAACCTGTTATTTCACATATGTTCTCCAAGCACTGCCTATCCATGTTTGCACTGTATACACTTAATTTTCCAGCATTTGTACTTAAACCAGAAGTATTAGAGAAAGTTTGTAATCCACTCAACATTAGCATAATACTTTGATACTCTCCTTTACAGAACATCAATACATCATCTGCAAAGCAAATGTGGTTTAGCTTTAACCCTTTACACTTTGTGTGGAATGCAAACCCCTCCTGTGTAGCTACCTATTGCATAATTCTAGTGAAGTACTCCATGCATATTACAAAGATGAGTGGTGAAATAGGATCACCCTGTCTTAG